AAAAAAAAAAAAAAAGGCTGGGCACAATATTACACCTGTAATACTAGCACTTGGGAGGCTGAGGCAAGTGGATTGCCTGAGCTCACGGGTTCGAGAGCAGCCTGAGCCAGAGTGAGACCTTGTCTCTAAAAATAGCCAGGCATTATTGTGGCCACCTACAGTCCTAACTACTTGGGAGGCTGAGGCAAGACAATTGCTTAAACCCAGGAGTTTGAGGTTGTTGGAGGTTGCTGTGAACTATGATGCCATGGCACTCTACCAAGGGTGACAAAATGAGACTGTTTCAAAAAAAAAAAGTAAAGCAAAACAAAAAGAAAGGTTTAGAGGCTCAAGCATCAAAATGGATGTGGCTAGAGATGCCATGAAGCCCTTGAAGGGAAAAGCCTCACCACAGGCCTGACTTCTCCTGGGGTGGGCCCAGGCTCAGTAACATTACCTTAAAACAGGGTAGGCTGGTGGGGGCCCAGGGGGACACAGAAGGGTAGAAAAAAGGGAAGGAAATAAAAGTCATCCAACAGACCTGAAAGGTACACATGCACTACAAGATTCTGAACCATGGGAAGAGGACAGCCCAGCCACCAGAGACAAACATAGGCAGGGCTATCTTGGCCTATCCTCCTCGGTAAGGCCCATGAGACATTGAGTGCCAAGTAGGAGGCCCAAGACCCATAAGGACCATCTCTAGGAGTTATTTCCTCCTGAAAGAAAATGAGTGAATGCTTTGAAGGTGCTGGAGCCCTTCGGAAACAGAGACATCAGCCAGAGCCTCCTGCCCTGGCAGCTCAGGATGAGGGGTGCAGGTGTTGGGGGCATGTGTCGGGGGAGGGAGGCATGCACTCTTGTCCTCTACCCACCCTGTGCCAGGAGCTTCAGAGCTGCCTCTCACTGCTCCTGGAGTTCCTTATGTTATAGAGGTTTGGGGTGAGTTTATTTTAAAAACACACACAGGCAAGAGATTTGGAAGGGGGTGATAAGTTGCATACTTGGACTTTGGGTTTGATGTTAATGAGCTTGCATCTGAATGTCTGAAACTGTGGGGCTGTTGGGGGTGGGGAGAGGAGAGAGGCAAAGCCACACAACCACCACCACAAAGGAGACCAGAATTTCCACCCACCAGCCAAGACATTCAAGGTGGTGAGAAAACTGCCCCTGGAATGCTGCCACAACACGCCTGGCCTCCTGGCTGGCAGGTTCCCTCAGCTGGACTCCCAGCCAGGATCTGCTTTGGGAATGAAGGAAGGAGGCAGTCCAGGGAGGGAGGGTTATCAATGCTGCATGCCCCCTGAGGCCAGCCCAGGGGGAGCTGCTAGGGTTCTTGGCCAGATGTGTATTTGCCAAGCCCCACTCAGAGATAGCATGCAACCAGGCCAAGGTTTCAGGGGTCACCTCCTAGTCCCAGCCCGGGGCAGCAGGACAGGGGCACAGGCAATGCCTGCAAAGGACTCCGGAAAGTGCAGATCTCGTTCCCACTCATCTGTCTCCGTGTTGTACACCTGCACAATGCCCGTCACATTGTTGAGGCGCCAGTTGTAGCCCCCAACGATGTAAATTTTCCTTTCCAGCAGGCAGCAGCCGGCCTCTGACTGGCCTGCTCGCATAGGGCTCACAGTGGTCCACTGGTCTGTCTCAGGCACATAGTACTCCACAGCCAGGACGTCAAAGCAGCGGTCCATATGGTCCATGCGGCCACCGAGGGCATAGATGCGGCCACCAGCACCCACCATGGCATGCAGCACACGAGGCTCACTCATGGGCGCCTTAAACTCCCACTGGTCGGACACAGGGTCATAGCAGTGCAGGGCTTTCTTGTCCTCCACCGAGATGCCGTAACCACCCGAGATGTAGAGGCGGCTCCCCAAAGCAGCCCCAGCGTGGCCCCATGTGCGGCGCTTCAGCGAGCAGGCATAGCCCCACTCATTACGCCGGGGGCAGTACCTCTCCACAGAGGCCAGGCTTCCGGCCCGATTGCGGCCACCTGTGGCATACACCATGCCGCAGAGCACATTCAGCTGGAACTGGATGCGGCTCTCCTGCATGGCCTGCAGGCGTAGCCAGCGGTTCAGATGGGGGTCATAGCGGTAGCAGGCATCCACAGCACCCTCACCACTCCGATACTGCAACTGCTGGCCACCAGCTATGTACACAAAGTTGTCCAGCACAGCCACACATGTGTGGCTGCAGCCCACCTCCATCTCTGTGAGCTCACGGAAGTGGCGAGCACCAGGCTCAGGCAACTGGTACACCTTGCTGCTGACAGAGCGGTCACTGTCAGTATAGGGTGTGCCACCAAAGGTGACCAGTGAGGGCACATCCGAGCGAATAGCGGTGCGTGGTGACTGCATCTCATGCTGCCGGAAGGGCAGCACCTGGTAGTTGAAGGCCTCTAGCAGGTACTGACGGCACAACACATCTTCTACCATGATGTCCAGCGTCTGCACACTGTCCACCAGCTCCGACGACTGCATGAGTGGGAAGCGGATGTGGCAGAGCACATGGCTGGCACGTGGCCGCCGGGCTGGGTCATGCTGCAGCCAGCGGACGGCAGCACGGAACAGGTCAATCTCAGTGCAGCTCTGCAGCCGATTGCTCTGCAGGAAGAAGACAAGGCGCTCCAGGGGCAGGCGCAGGAAGTCCTCCTCCTCTGCAATCTGCAGAAAGTGCTGGAAGGTGAAAGCATCTACCGATTCCCGGAGTGAGGCCAGGCTGAAAGTGGTGGCCATCTGGCCGATGTTGAGGCAGGTCTCCACACTCATGGCTGCCTTGAGAAATTCCTCACACAGTTCCACCACAGGTAGCATCTGTAGGAACACAGCCGCGCCCAGCACATCCTGCACACAGTCGAGGTCCAAGGTCACTTCAGCACTGTAAGCGAAGTCAATGATGTGCCGCAGTCCACGGGCCGACACACCTTTCAATTCAATGACATCCTGGCTCGCCTCCCTCATGCCGCCTGTGAACATGGCCCTGAAGGTCAGAAACAACAGCATGTGGGCTCAGGGCACCTAGTGGGCATTCTGGTCAGCCAGAAATGGCCTGGCCTCAGGAATAGTGGCCCCAAGACACAGAACACAGGGTCCAGCCAGCAAGAGAAAAGCAGGCTGGATGCTTGTTAAAAACATGCAAAAAAGAAAAGAAAAAGTTTTACTTCACCCCAAGCTGTGTATCTTCCTTCCCTGCTCTACTCCTCTGCAAGTGCCCTGCCCTGGCCCCTTAATGTGCAGATCATGGCTCTCACCTCAGAGCTGCAGGAGCTGTAAGCCTGGTTCAGCCACACCCACAGTGTACCTCACTGCAGCCTGGCTGCAGGACAGAGGGGGTCAGGTGCAGCTACAAAGAAGATCACCTCCTTGTGGGTCTGGGGACAGATCTGTAACCCCATCTCAGGAGACAAGGCCAGGGCTGTAGAGAAGCCTCATAGCACAGTTCACAGAGCCCAGCTCTGTGACATTCCTTACCTACACACTGGCCTGGAATAGCAGCTCTGACTTCCCCAGCCTGGGACTCAGCAGCTGTCAGACAGGGAAGATGAGGTGATTGACACCCCCCAGGAATGGAATCCTGTGGGGTGTCACTGCAATCTCCAGAGAGATGTCTAGGCAATGAAGGAAGCACTCCACCCCACTCCAAGCACAGCCCAGAGGAGCTGGTGGCCACATCTTTAGCCAACCATGATTCTCCTGCTCTGGGAGGCAGGGCTAATGTGAGAACCAGAGAGGGGACACAAATCCATGGGCAGGAGGGCAGTGGGGAGGCTTAAGGCCCTGGGTCACAGTGCCCTGTTGCTTTTAGGATGCACCCTACAGGCAGAGGGGAGAAAAGCCCGACGCCCATTCCTGGGCAATGGGAAGTTCCTCTCACAGGGAGGGTTGGTATCTTACAATAACTCTTACTTCCATCTGTATTTTCTCTGATGAGGGAGAATTTCCTTCATCCATCTGCCCAACATAAGTTCATACCCTAGTCTCACACCCAGTGTGGGCCAAGCCCAGGGCCTCAGGAGCCAGGCCAGCCATAAGGGTGTCATCACAGGGCACCAACTATCCACCTGGCAAGCCACTCACTGGTGTCTTAGAACCATCCAGGAGCAGTACTCTGCCAGCTTCTCAGACTCTGCCTTCTTGTCCCCATTAGTCCCCACTGGCCCTCGGGCATTATGTGATGAAGGCAGAGGCAGTTAGGGTGACGGGAGGGAGTTTTGCCTTTTAAGGCCTCACCAGCCACAGTGCCAGCACAGGAGAGCCTTTAAAGGGCATTGCTGGCTGGGCTGGCCCACCCGTCCCCCAATCCAGAACAAAAATAGAAGCAGCACCCCAGTTGGCCTGGCTGTTTCAGCTCCCCACAACAGCCTTGCTGAGCCCACAGGGCGGGTGACTGGGGCACATGCCAGGCTAGGCATCCCAGCTTGAGGGAATGTGCAGCCTGAAGCATATATCTGGGCTGGGATGTGCCTAGGAATCACCCCAGAGTGGCCTGCTGTGACCTGGCGGGAAGGAAGCTCAGCCACCAGTCACTGAGGGTTGAAAAAGGCAGTGCGGCCCTGAGACAGCCCCCAGTTGAAGAGAACAGCCCCCTCCATAAACTCCACAGGGCCTCCTCTTCTGGCCCAGCTATGACACGGGGACAGCAGACACACCTGCATGCCTGCTCAGGCCTCGTCTGTCACTAAGGAGAAGCACCCACAGCTCAGGACAACAGGAGGAAACCTCATCCAGGCCTCGGATAGAGCCTAGCACGTGGGTGCTGATAGACATAGGTGTCACTGTAGATCTTGGTGGCCCTCTGGTCCCTCTGCTATTCTGCTTTAAGTACCCTGAGGGTGGACATCCTGATAGCAAGGATTTGTGCTCATTTCCTCCCTGCTGGGTCTTAAGGCCTAGAATGGCTCCTCCCAAGCAGCAGGTGCCATGTTAAGGAAGCAGAATAAAAGCTCAGCTGAGCCCTACCACCCCCAGGGCAACAGCTGTTCAGGGAATGCCCATGGGCCAACACTATCCCCCAAAGTGTGTTGTGTCCAGAAAAAGTAAGATGCAAATCTGGGAAAACCTCCAGGTTTATTGGACACTGGGCTTCTCTTAGAAGAGAGGCCACCACTGACCAGTTTCCCTCAAAGCTGTCCCTCACTGACATGGACGGGAGCCCCGTTTAGAACATGGGTGCTCTCCACCCTGTCCTCCTCCCCAAACCCCTCCAAGCTGCACTTACCTGAAGTAATCACTGCAGGCAGCCAGGACCACCTTGTGCGCATGGAAGGCCTCTCTATTGATGGTGAGCACCACATCAAGCAGCTGGCCCTGGGAGCGGAGGGTGGCCAGGCCCTGTAGAAGGCTGGTACTATGGCCAGGTGCTGAGAAGGTACACTTAAGGGACCCATTCTTATCAGCCGTGCTGGAGGGAGAGCAGAGGTCGGCACACAGGCCATAGGCCTTTAGGTTCCAAGACACAATACAACATGAAGAACCTCAAAAGCACAAAAGGCCACTTGGTGTATGATTCAACAGATATGAAGTTTGCCGGAAAGGACATGCACATCCATAGAGACAGAAAGCAGATGGGGGATTGCCAGGGGCTAGGTAAGGGGAGTGGGGACTGAGGCTAATGAGGACAAGGTTTCCTTTTGGGGTGATGAAAGTGTTTTGGAACTAGATAGTACACTTGTAGTGTTGCACACTATGGATGTATTGAATGCTATTAAATTGTAGACATTATAATGGTTAGTTCTATGTGCTGTGATTTTCACTCCAATAAGAAAGCAAAACATAGGTAGGTAGCGCCTGTGGCTCTAAAAGGTAGGGTGCCAGCCCCATATGCTGTAGTTGGTAGGTTCAAACCCAGCGTCAACCAAAAAAACTGCACAAAGAAATGAAAGCAAAACATAGGATATGGGCACTTTCTCAGGTCCTCTGATGGACTCAGCAGCCATGGCACCCCAGCACTCTCAGGTTGTATAAGCCCTCTGCAGTCCAGCGCCCATGAACCCCAGTCACCTATCACTCCTCCCCTCCAGCCCTGTTGACCCCGACACTTTTGTTTTGGAAAACTTTTGTTGAACAGATCAATAACTAAGTAGCTTAGGAATCCTAAATTCATCATGTCATTCTCAGAACACAACAGGAAGGGGACACTGTTGCCAACTCCAGGGTCAGGCCCCTGTAGGATCATGAACCCCTCCTCTCCCAAGCACTCTTGCCTGTCCCTGTGATCTATGGCCCTGCTGAACTTGCTCTCACATTCCAGGAATTAATGCCTGCCCACAAGTGAGGGCCAGGGATGTGGCCACTAGTCTTCTCAAGAAAACAGGAGCGGCTCGGCGCCTATAGCTCAACCGGCTAAGGCGCCAGCCACGTACACCTAAGGTGGCGGGTTCGAATCCCCAGCCCGGACCCGCCAAACAACAATGACGGCTGCAACCAAAAAAATAGCCAGGCGTTGTGGCGGGCGCCTGTGGTCCCAGCTACTTGGGAGGCGGAGGCAGGAGACTCGCTTGAGCCCAGGAGTTGGAGGTTGCTGTGAGCTGTAATGCCACGGCACTCTACCCAGGGGGACAGCTTGAGGCTCTGTCTCAAAAAAAAAAAAAAAAAAGAAAACAGGAGCAGAAGGGAAGGATTCAAGGCTCCACTGTCTGCCAGCCCCCAAACCATACTAGGTATTAAATTATTAATGTCAAATATAAGGCACACAGCTGGCATTTGCTAAACACAGCCACTGCCACCAGAGGTCCCTGACCAGAGATAGGCCCTTCCAGAGATACTTGGGAAAGGGCGGGTGATCAACCAGGGGGCAGAGGGGCTGTAGGGCAAGCCGCTGACCATAGTCAGGTGAGGTGCTGCAGGGCAGGGCAAGTTGCCCAACCTTAGTCTTGCAAGGCTGGGAACATGGTGTAGACAGGACATGGCATGAAGGACCTGTATGAAGGAACCTGAAGTCAGGGAACCCAGCATGAGTGCCTGTGCTTGGTGGAAGCGCTTTGAGTCCCTAGAGAGGCAAGACACATGTGATTTGGACCCCAACATTGAGCTTGTCTAGGGCTGGGCACCTGCCCCTATGAAGCCAAACCCACCTTCCTGCAGTCCCTCCTGAGCCCCATGGTGTCTAGAGCTTCTCTGGCCATTTCCTCTACCACCTAGCCTTGGCTCTTGCCATTCCCCCACATGGGCATTTTTTTGCTACTTGCCTGGGCTCCACGACCACATTCAGCTGATAGTGTACATATACCATCTTCCTTAACGGGAAGAATCATTCAATCCCAATAATAGAATGTCCATAGCAGAATGGACATTAGCAGAATGGCCCATAGCAGAATGTCTGGAGACCCAAAGACTATAAAAAGCAGCTCCACATAACCAGGAAACCTGTCCTAACTGCACCCCAGCCCTCACTTCCCCTCTTCCCTACACACTGGGCCCCCACAGGCAGGGCTCCATCTCAAAAACTCCCTGGGCTGGAGTCAAGGACATTGGTTGAGTCAGCCAAAGAGCCATAACTTGGATCTCCCCACAACCCAGGGTCCTTGCCTCACCCATGAGTGTTCATTCATTCTTCATTCATTCATTCAGCCTGCACTTCACCCATGGGGCCAGGCCTATCTCATGATACTTACAGACACTAGCAGTCTAATGAAGGGAAGGAGGAAGACAGATACCAAATCAATGGAGACAGAAGGAAATAACCACTAAGGGCTCTGAGAGCCTGAAGGGAATGGGGAGATGCCTAAATGATGACTGGGAGGAAGAGGAGGAGGAGTAATTAAGTGAAGAAGGAATGCCTATGTATACCTTGGACAGAGCAGGGAGCCCCAGAATTCCCAAGTACCCTTCCCATAAGCCCTTACAATGTGCACATTCAAACCCACAGGGAATCAGCATCTGGGTAGAAGCACTGGGCACATGAGAAACTCAAAAGGGACCCCAAAGACCCACTGTAACAAAGACAAGCTAGATAACAGGACAGAAGTTGTCGAGCTCATGAGGGACACAGGGCAAGGTTCTAACTGCTGCCCACTGTTGGCTATCTATGGGACTTGGGCCCATTCCCTGATTCTCTGGTCTCAGTTTTCTTGGCTGCCAAATGGAACACAGATGTCACTGGGTTGCCATGGGGCTCCCCAGTCCCCACCAACTCCTAGGAAATCAGAGAGTCACAGACCACCTACTGCCCAGATTACCTTTGGGCTGGGGAGGTAGTGAGGCATACATGGCAGGGTTCTTCATCATGACATGACCCCTACAAGCCACCTACATGCCCTCTCCATCCACTGAATGGGACCAGGCCATTACATTTGGGAACTTGGAAGCTCAGAACCACCCCCATAGCACCAGCATATAGCAGTGCTGAGAGAGCCCTATTGGCCTCTCTATGGACATGTAGCCTCACAGATTCATACATGGGTCCTGCCAGACTTTGCTATTTTGCTTTCAGCTGGTTTGGTTTTTCCTTAGACATCTGAGGAG